CCATTACATACAGCAAGCTATGTATTTAGAAGTTGAGGGATATGAGTAGATTTGCTGTAACGACCTCATTACATACAGCAAGCTATGTATTCAGAAGTTGAGGGATATGAGTGGATTTGCTGTAACGACCTCATTACATAAAGCGAACTATGTATTGAGAAGTTGAGGGATATGAGTGGATTTGCTGTAACGACCTCATTACATACAGGAAACTATGTATTTAGAAGTTGAGGGATATGAGTGGATTTGCTGTAACGACCTCGTTACATACAGGGAACTATGTATATAGAAGTTGAGTGATATGAGTGGATTTGCTGTAACGACCCCGTTACATAAAGTAAACCATGTTATTCAATCTACAGATTATAAAGGTAACGAGATGATTACAGCAAATCCACTCATATTCCTCAACTTCTAAATACATAGTTCTCTGTATGTAATGAGGTCGTTACAGCAAATCCACTCATATCCCTCAACTTCTAAATACATAGTTCACTTTATGTAACGAGGTCGTTACAGCAAATCCACTCATATCCCTCAACTTCTAAAATACATAGTTCATGTTACGTAACGAAGTCGTTACTGTAAGTGATGATTGTATCAATATACTTTCGTTGTTCATTCTGGTGGGTATCGTGACGGCTGGTGGTCGATACCCACGGTATCGGTATTATGACATCTATGTCTGCTGCAGAGGCAGTTTTGTAGATCCAACGTCTTCCGTATAACTGATACTAGGTATAAGAGCAGATGTCGGTTAGTATATAATCAGTGTCTGAACATGACCCGAAATTTGATAGAATTATGTTTTATACGACGTCTAACGATTGTGTTTCGATATAGCTGCTCGAAATATCAACTAATACTTGGACCATGTGTACTGCAACTCTTTTTAGGGCGGCCTAATTCAAATTGAACAAATATGGAAATGCAATTTCGATTATAATATAAAAAATCAAGAGTGTTTCCCTACTTATGCATTCGATTTATTGCAAAGTGGTGATGATAAACTATCGCCTGGTGTCAATTTTCGGTACATTAATACGCATTGAACTTGTCGTGGTTCTTAATACATTCTAATTTTATAATAGATTTGTTGAAAAATATCGTTTAAATGAAACAGATTATCGAACAACAACAAAAATGTATGGACTTCGTTTTGTTCTCACAGTAGCAGGTCATGGCGGACGATTCGATATACGTCGTTTATTTCTCGCTATCGGTAGGCATTTACTATCTTTGAAAAAAGTATCATGTTTAATACAATTTGGATCAATTAAGGATCTGGTATTGGTTATATGATAATAGCGCAATTAGTATCTGAATTTATCTTCATGCGAATTCATAGACATCGTGAAGAATTTTGTCGAAATAAAATCAAAGTTTGTTCTTTGAAGAAGAGCAAGAAAGATCGTTCGGCAAATACTGTAGGATATTAATGATTATTTTTAATATCTAAACTTGTTCCAATCGTGTCTTGAGACATCGGCTTAGAACGACTACCAACATTATCAGCACGGCAACATGGATTGTCGTTTTGAATGTTTTTCCCCATATGACATTTTCTCAAAAAAAAAAACATCCCCCTGTTCATCCCATGTGATTGTATAAAAAGAGTGCAGAATCAATAAAAAAAACTGCATACAAATGAGTTCAAAATAAACGCGTTCCAAAATATCAGAACCGCATATTTTAATGCCTTATGAATGCATTATACATGTCAAACAAATATTTTATGATTTACAATTTTAACCCGTTTTTACGGCATTATGTAACTTTACGCGTTCGTAATGCGTTAAAATATGCGCTTGTTTTCGTTTAAAACTTTAAAAATGTTTTTTTACGTTTGATCATGGAATTAGGTTTATCATTTAAGGACATGAGAAAACGTAAAGAATGTGGATGTGGGTGTGAGCGTAACTGTTCTCGTCACCCACACCCTCATAATCCTTTTTTATACGTTACTGTTGTTTATGGCTTGTTTTATCTAACTCTTTATATGCACCACATGGTTGCGTAAGATTAAACTATAGAACAGAAGGAGATTCGATAAGAACAGTAAACTTGCTTTTCTCTACTACAACGACGTCATTTTTGCCGTATGAAAAATGAAATTTCTCTGTGTGCTGCATGTTTGGCTGCTAACATTTGTTACTGGATCGTCGGGCTTAAATGTATTGATGATCAGTATTGGTGCAGCTGGTCACATTATTCCTATGTTTGAGTCGGCAAAAGGAATGAAAAATCATAATGTTACATTTATTACCGAAGCGTTTGCTTAATCGTATATTGATTTCAAAACACATCCAAATATGGCTTCATTTCGCTTCATTTTTCCAAACGATTCGACAGGTGTACTTATTGAACAAAAGAAAATAGAACAAGAACTGTATGAATATTTTACAGATCATTCATTATTTGATAGTTTATTTTATATGATGCCAAGAATGGGCCAAATTACAAGTAACGTTCATCGTCAAGCGATTCACTTAGCCCTAGACTGATAGAATACATGTACGGATGTAATAACATAAAAAACTACATTAAAAAAGTAATACGCAACATTCATAATATTACCAGTATATCTTAGGCCACCAGAAAACTTAATTTGGAGAATTCTCACTCTAAGTAAAGATGATGCATTTACAAGTTTAATTTTTTTATCGTTTTCGTTTTATTTTTTTTTACTTTTATAAATACAAATAGCGCCCAATAAGATTAGACAACAATACTATTTTTTTATAATTATATTGGCGCTATTTGTACGTACAAAAATATGAATTTTATTATTCATAAAATTTGAGTTTTATTAATCAATATTTTATGCTTAAATTCGCGCATTAATTCTAAACTATTAATAAATTAGATATTCATTGATACAACATTGCATAATCAATCCTACAATAATGAATAATTTAAACGATTTCTTTAAATCCATACTGCTCATTTGGTCTGACTCTCACTAATTAAATGCTTTTGTAAGCCGTTTCACACCACTACCCGAATTATAGTTATTCCATTGACATTTCACCCTTGATTATTATGGGTTCATTTACATCAGTCTGTAGATGGTCATTTGTGCCATAGTTACCGGAATAGTTGTTTGTACCATGGTTGCTATATGGTCACCTGTGCCATAGTTACGTGGCCGTTTGTACCAAAAAAATGACCGTTTGTGCCATAGTTACATGCTCAATTGTACCATAGTTACCTAGTTAATTTTAGTAGAAAAATGGCCGTTTGTGCCAAAAACATGGTCACTTGCGCCAAAAAAATGGCCATTTGTGCCAAAAAAATGGTCATTTGTGCCACAGAAATGGTCACTTGTGCCATAAAAATGGTCATTTGTGTCATAGAAATGGCCGTTTGTTCCATAAGAATGGTCATTTGTGCCATAGAAATGGCCATTTGTGCCACAGAAATGGTCACTTGTGCCATAAATGACCATTTCTGTGCCATAGAAATGGCCATTTGTGCGATAGAAATGGCCGTTTGTGCCATAAAAATGGTCATCTGTGCTATAGAAATGGCCATTTGTGCCATAAAAATGGTCATTTGTGCCACAGAAATGGTCACTTGTGTCATAAAAATGGTCATTTGTGTCATAGAAATGGTCATTTGTGCCACAGAAATGGCCGTTTGTGCCATAAGAATGGTCATTTGTGCCATAGAAATGGCCATTTGTGCCATAAAAATGGTCATTTGTGCCATACAAATGGCCGTTTGTGCCATAAGAATGGTCATTTGTACCATAAAAATGGTCGTTTGTGCCATAAAAATGGTCATTTGTGCCAAGTTCTTGTTACAGACAAACAGACAGACGGACATACAGACACACGTGAATTACGGTTTCTAGACCCTAGCCTTTCAGTCTAGGGAACAAATGACCTAATGAACAAGTCAATACATGTACTAATGTCAGAACGATTCGATGTTATTATCGGTAGTTCATTGGTCTTCGGTCTTCATGCTTTATGCGAGAAAGCAAATACATCATGTGTGGTACAAAGAGCAGAAGTAAAACTAAGTCCTTTTGATGTCAACCTATCTAACAGTTATTCGTTACTATCATCAAAACAAATCACTGAAATCAAATATCGTATTTACAATGTTGCTTTTACTTTACGCTTGATGATGAATATTTTCAAAGAAATAATAAAATCGTTCTACATAATATTTAAATCCTTTCCACAAATTCCAGGACCATTTTACAATACTTTCCTACTACGAAATATTTTATCTACGAAAACCAGATGTTTACAACTGATCGGTATAACACCAACACTCTATCCACCATTGTTTTCAGATCACTATACGAAATATGTTGGTGGATTTGTAGATGAATCATCAATTCAAAGTATTGACAATGATCTCACCAGATGGATCAAATCAAAACCGACAAAGTCTATCATCTAGGCGACTTTTGGTAGTACTAGTATAATTAGACTCAATCGAATGAAAAATCTCATAAATGGTCTAGTTGAATTTCGTTTACAAGTTGATACTGCTTCGATGATATTGGCATTTCGTAATGTAAATTATGATACCTATCAAAGTGTATTGAAGCAGATAAAGCAAGACGAATATCGACAGATTTTGATGAATAATCAACGGGTTACAGTTGAAAATCAATTTGTTCAGCAGAAATGGATTTTACAACAGACTTCCGTCAATATATTCTTAAGTCATTGTGGTATGAGTTCAACCGTAGAAGGGCTTTATTCTCAAAAATCTATATTATGCTTACCGATACAAACGGATCAATTTTTAAACTCGATTGCTATCGATAATTCAGGTGTTGCGAAATCGTTATTTACACCGCCATGTCTATGGCAATCATTTCTAAAACCACATGATTTTCATGAATATACATTTTCCGCTCATAGTGTAACAACGAAACTTTTAACAATGTGGCGAAATATTACCTATGAACAAGCAGTTCGAATCGTCTCACTTGAAATGAAACATGCTGGTGGTGTAAGACGAGCTGTTGAAGAAATGGAATTTTTAGTAGATTTAAATGGTGATTTAGAACGCTATGCACCGTTTCACAGTACATTACCATTCTATCAACGTTATATGCTTGATTTAGTGCTTGTTTATTTTGTTTTACCTATTACGATCATTTTTATATTTGCTTGTTAAATGTTACAAACGAAATCGAAAGGAGAAAATAGATTGATTAATAAATATACAAAATAGAATCTGTGCCAACAAAAAATTATTTAATTCTGTACTCTGACCTGCTCGGTAATACACCAGGAGTATGAAAATTAAGTGAAAAAGTCTTTTAGAGTGTTGATAGGTGCTCATATGTACAATTGTTTTTGTCGTTGAAAGAAGTTGGACATTTTTATTTACATCCACATCTCACTTCAATTTTGATGTAGATCTGTACTAAATATGAATGAAATGGATGTCTACTTAAATAGAAAACAAAACTGTCCAAGAAAGGGATAATAATGATGGAAAAAAGATTACTACAGTCATCACTATCACTTGTTGTTTGTTGAGTGTGGATGTGGATATTCAATGATGATAAGATAAACACCTATACCTTTTCTTGCAATAAATAAACATAAGAAAATAAGTAAATATACGAGTAGATAGAGGATTTCAAGCTCTATCAGAATATATAATATATAGCTTCTTCAGAAAGGTCATTTTATCATGATGAAAAATTTTGAAAACTAGTTTTAATAACAACGAAAAGAAAATCAAGTCTATAGGAATCTGCACATGAGAATGTCTTCGTTGTACTCAACTTTTTTGATAATACATATGTTCCAATGAAAATGTATTTTATAGCGAATGATAGAAAACTGAACGAGCTTTCAAAATTTGTAATTAGTTCTAAAAACAATGTTTTCATGGTAACGATTTAACTGAAATAGGAACCGCCGCTATTTTTTTTCTGATGGTATATAAAAAATCGTTTACTAAAATTGAGAATTCTTTACGCAACATGTCAAACTGTATTTGAATAACTATATTGTACTTTGACTGTTTAAAAAGATTTTTCCCTTGAACAAATGATTTTTATTTTCAAAATGAATAAAACAAATATTTTACAAAAATTACTTTTAATGACTACATATATCGATTAAGGAAAACTAAAATTTGGCAAAAGTTTGAATTTAAAAATATTATTAAATAAAACGAAATTCTGTTTTTTATTAAGTATATGATAATGAGAAAATACATACAAAAATGACCCTTAATGTCATATATTTAGAAATATTTCATTTGAACTTGTTTGTTAATGATGTTTATAAAGTTTTTTTTTTTTATAAATGTTTTTCATTTAATATCGTTATTTTTTATAGAATTGGATGAGATAAAATAAGTGATTCTTCATTGAAAAACTCGGAAGATCATCAATCTATACAAAAAATAAAAACTTTAGCGAAAGACCTTAAAAGAATTGCAATTAATGAGAAGCTTGTGGGTGTAAATGTGAGTAAAGAGAGATGATATCTAGATCCACATCCACATCCACACCCGATGTTTTCGAAACGTTTCATTATTTTTGACTTTTTTATGTTAGAAATACGCTAAGATTTATAAACACGAAATATATTATTTTTATTTTAAAAAGTTGCATATTTATACATGGGAATAGAGAAAACAGGGACTAGTGGAGAATGGGGAAGTCGTAAAACTTCTTTATTTTTTGTTGAATAATGAGCAACAAGAAGAAATAAAACAATAGCCCTTTGTATTGCAAATCTATGTAGACGAAAAGAAGTTTGTCAAAAGAAAGAGATAATATAAAGAATACTTCAGGTGAAATGAAGAGAAGAACAATCTTGTGTCATGAGCTGCATCTCAAGGTACGGCTAATAAAGATTTTCCTCATTTATCTATTTGATTATATTTATGGAATTACATTCTTCTTCTTGTTTTGCTTTGTTGCTAGTCAAGCGTCAAGGATTTTTCCTTTTTCAGTAATAATGGGTGGGGTAGAAGTTCTACATTAATTTTGTTTTTGGTGTAGCTCTGTTATGGAATCCTGTTGTGATTTCATCTGTTTTTTGTTACAAAGAGCAGTGTTTAGTGCAAAAATATACAAATGAATATCATTCAAAATTGTTTGATAGAGACTACAAATATGTTAGAACTGAAACCAATAAAAAAACTGTTCTGGGTTTTCAATAAGAAAACAAATGCTTATTTACATGTCCCACAGAAAAGCTCTATCCTATTTCAAATAAAATCACGTGATAGACGACTCATCAAGGGTGGGTATGGGTGTAAGTGTGTGGGTGTTTGTTTTGACTTTACTAACACCCACACCCTCTAAAAACAATACTAGATTCCGATCAAATAGAAATGCTTGATGTTAATTGTATTAAATCTGTATCAAGATACGAGTTTAATAAATTAATCAAACATCTTTCTTGATTAAATTATCTTACAATGGAATATAATCCATTACTTGTTGTACTATCGCAAATTCAAACTCTTAGATTAGAAAGCGTTTGTAAATGATTATCGATTGATAATCTTAGCCGTACAATACAAAATGTTAAAACTCTTGAAACTTCAATTGATTCAAAAGATATGATAGTTGATATAATAGATCAATTTGATTATATTGATAATTTTGTGTTCATATGTGATAATTTCTGGAAAGATTATTATTTGGAACTCTTCATTGAAAAGTTAAATCTTTATTGTTTGTAAAAATAATTTGTATCTTCTTAGCATGAACCATTTTACATATCACCAAAGAGAAGAATATCAACGCATTCGGATGTCAATTTATAGCCGAAAGACTGAAAAATATTCAGATTTTCATACATTTGCTGACTGAATAACTATAACTATTACTGTGAGAAGATGTTTGTATGAAAATAAAATTATTAGTATAATCGTTTTTTGACTAGTGGAAAGTATATATCGAACACAAAAGCAAAGATTTTATGTTCACAATGAGATAAATAAATCAATAAACATCAATTAAATGTCAAGTCTTATTTTAAAATGTATATCTTTTCTTGGAGTGTGGGTGTCATTTTATCTCTTATGTCTCCTATTTGTTAGTACCTTCTTTCGTCGTCACAAGCCTTAAAAACCAAAAGCAAATTAAATGTGAAGACAATAGATAACGGGCGTGTGTCGCACGTGTTGATTCCATTTATAAATAGTTTTTCTTCTATACATTGTATTCATTCTTCAGGTAGTCAAAGATGTATTTTCTCGTCTATATTTTTTCATAGGTCTTCATTAACATAGATCATTATTTCAAATACCTGAAAATTTTTTTATAGAACCACTCCATTTTTAAGGATGTATTGTGCAAATTCTTATGGTTTCGTATGAGGCTGTTGACTCATTTGATGTAAAATTTATTTCTCGAGTATGATATTCAGACGAATCATATGAATTCGATTCATCAATTCTGTTGCTACTTCACTCCGAAAAATAACTTCTATAAAAATAATTTTCTCTGTAAGACGGTAGATAATCATGGACAAGTGAAAGACTAACTTGAGATGTAGTCTCAAACTTTTGTCGTCAATATACAATCGTATTAAACTAGTCAAAATTTCTCTATTTTCAATATTCATTTCATAAACAAGTCGTTTATTCGGGCATTAGTCTCATATTCAGTTTTCTGTGTGCTCTCTATCGGTTTTCATGAGTGAAATTGATAAAGAAATCATGTTCGTGGAGAACTCATATTTACAAAAACCTTACTTCTTGTACACAGACAATGAGAAAATCATATCAAATACATCATTCATCGCGAAAAATTTAGTTCCGATGATACAATATCTAGAGAAAGAAAGTACATGCATCTGCAATCAGGTATATGAGTACTAGAAGAAATGAAAAAAATCCATAAACGTATCAACAATAGAGATACAATTATTTCATATGCAAGTAAAAAGAGCACTAGTGAATGTAACAATGAATGGAGAACAAATTGAATTAGTTAAAGAATTTATATACTTCGAGTTTACTTTGATAGATAGATTATCCTTCAAATCGACATTCGAAAAAAAGTGCAGAAAACATCCAGAGAAGTAAAAACGGGTGGGTGTGGAAGGGTGTGGGTGTGGATGTGGGTGTGGGTGTGGATGTGGATGTGGGTGTTGGGTGTGGGGTATGGGTGTGGGTGTGGATGTGGATGTGGGTGTGGGGTGTGGGTGTGGGTGTGAAGACAAGTCGAACATCACCCACACCCACCCACACCCACACCATCTTTTTCTTTTCATACTCATTCACCTCGAATACTTAGTTACAAACACTTTGTCATTTTCATGTATAAGGATCTTATTTTCCGATTTTCTCTCTTTGGCTACAAGTTGAATAAAACCAAACGTATTCAAAAGAAAGTTCTTTGAGCGGAAAACAAATTGGTAAGAAAAGCTTCTTCAAGACTTTTCTTTTCGTCCAAAAAAACGATCTTTTTCTAAAAACTTGAATTTTACTCACTTTGTACAAGGACTTTTTGCAACTTTTGCCGCTAATAACCTTTGAACAATTTATCCGTTTTTGCTCAGATTTTTACCGAAGATACAGTTCTAAGATATGTATAACTGGGAAAAAATGCAATCGTCTATCTCTTGTCGCTCTCGAGAAATTTACAATATACAATGAAGTGCAGAAGGACCTTTTTCATGTAATATTTCAGCTGGAAGTAGGTCGAAATGGGCGTTAATTTATACCGTTCGTTGCGTTTCATCGCGGAAGGTTACTCCATCTTAATGTCGAAAAAATACGAAGTATTTGTATTGTATAAAATTCCAGCCAATTATTGTTGGTTTTCCCATTAAAAACATCCACAACGATATATTTTCGCTGAAATATCTTATATCTTTGCAAATATATAGAAAAGTGTTGGGAAACTTTTCTTGTATAACATAGGCATAGAGTACAATAAAATGTACTACTCAAAAGTTGTTTAGGCATACTTTCATTTTTTTTTGCCAATTGTACCAAAAAGTTGCAATTCACTCATATTTATAAACACGATAGAGAATGAGAATATTTTCGGAAAACAAAAGATCAAAGAAGAAGAGAGAAATTATGACATCACTGTACCCTAGCAGCAAGAATAAAAGATATTTGAAAAGAATTTATATGAGAGAAGAAAAGAAAGAAAAAAGAGCATCAGATGATGAATACGATTGTCTATGACTTTAATGATCTTACATATTTAATAGTTTAATACGAACTAAACATTTTTTTCTCTACTGAAAAATAGTGGGACAATGTATGTCCCACGGTCCTCAATGGGTTAATTTTTCAAAATGATGTCAATAGCCGAGCAAAGCAAATTATTATCACTAACAACAATAATTTCAATCTGGCTGATCAAATATTATCATCGAACGATAACAACTAAAGTACAATTCATAATAACATAAATATGAATGACAATAGCGTCGAACAACAAGATGAAAACGAAAGTGATCAAGATGATCACAGCGAAGCCAAAACTCCTGATTCTCTCACATCACTTACAAGCGATAATACTGAAGACGATCATATCCAATAGCCACAATATACGATGTCGTCCATTACATATGAACAATATACTACTTATCCATTTAGACTTTATAATTCATATTATTAATTTTCTTACTATGAAACCCACTTTTCATTAATATAAAGGACATACAAAAATAAACTCCATTCTATATTCTTGTGTATGTAATTACCAATACATCAGAAATTGGACGATATTTTCAACCTTTGGTTTTTCTTGTAAAAGCAAGTGCAGAATATTCAGCCACCTAATGAGACTCTTAGCCGAGTCGAAACGCGTCGTGGTAGCTATTTATTTCTTCGGTTTTCGAACCTAAGATATATTTAAACTCACCCTCTCACCCTCACCCTCAAGCTATTGTAAAAAATTGAAATAGCGCATTCCCCAATAACCCAATAGGAAGTTAGTTGGATCAGTTTCAATAAATCCATCTCCATCATCCAAATCGTAGACTCCTTGGTTCAAGTTTTTAGCAGATCGTTCGTCCGGAGGTAATATCTGCAATGACTTGAGCGGGAGATAGCAATGAGCAGGTACGTTGATTTGTACGTCCAAGCGACCACTGTTGAATTGTGGCCAATGAATCAATTCCAATGGCCAACGCTGCATATGCCATACACCATCATTTGATAAAGAATTACAATCATGCCGGAAAGCTCTAGTAGTCAATCCATGGCGTTTGTTAGATGTATTTCGGGTTTGATTGACTTGACCACTGGCATAGCAATAGATGAAATTAAACAATGGTGTTTTTTCCATTTGTTTGTAATTGTGTGAAAGATCTAATCCTATTTCCATGTATTCCCATAAATTGTCAATTAGTGATTGTGCACGTGCCTTTTGAACAGCAGATAAGCTAGCCGAAGAAGCAATTGTGTGGAATGCATAGACTAGGTTAAAATAAGACAAATAGGCCAGTTCGTCATAATTAAAAGCCGTTAAAGCATACTCAAAATCACTAGCACAAACAGCAATCATCTTCTGATTAATAAGATTGACATTATATTGGTAGGATTCAATAAGAAGATTGGCACCATCGAGAAAACGCTCATCACCACTGTAACCATATGTTTGAAGTAGGTAAGCTAGTATCTGAAGACTGTTTATACCTCGATCTTCTTGATAGCGACTATCATTGTTTATCTGGATAGGATTCCAGTAGCCCCATGTAGTGCGATTGTGATTCTCACCAAACAAATACCAATCATGAGTCAGGATATGATTGGTGATATTGGAAATGAGTGTGTAAGCTCTTTTTCGTTCGTCATCGTTGCTAGCCAGTAAGTCGTGCACAAGAGGATATACGAACTCATGGCCACAAATTTCATCAGACGAGGTATCACCCTCAAACTGAAGATCTGGATAAACGGGAGAAGGATACCATGGAATCTTAGAGAGAAAGTCGCTTCGCTTTGCGAATGAACGAGCAGGATAACCAGGAATACCTGCGGAAAATGTAAACAAAGCATAAATTAATCAAAATTACCAGTAAACGTTCTTGTAATCAATACGTTACCTGTAACTTTATTGAGAAGTTCCATCGCTTCAAAGTGTTTCCAAGCCTGTGCTTTAACTCTTGCGTCTTGCGTCACAACATAGCGAAAGATCTGACTAGCCAGATACATTGAAGTCCAAAGACCATCATTATCATCTGGTTCTTTGATACAAGTACGACTATCGCCCCATGATGACATAGAGCAGTCAGAGATGAACCCGTTTTTATCATGTCTTCCTGGTTGATCGAAGAACATTTGAAAATGCTCTGCTTTCTGTGCCAATGTCCACATCTCAAAACGAAGAACAGCAAGACCTTTGTTTGTGATTGCTACTGCAGCACTTCCCATATTAGGAGATGCATCACTGCGACGACTCAGGACAGCCAACGAAGATACATTAACCAACGATTCACGATTTGGCATATATCTGGCACTATTGAATACACGCCAAGCATTGATGTCACTACTGTTCGAATCGAAACGCATCACCCCACGTACAGCACCCAGCCATATACGACCGTCAGGTAACATCGACTGGCTAACACTTAGAGCGGTAATGTTTGCAAATGGAAGATGACCAATATATGATCCAGGGTTAGAGATTTGCCCTGCCAATCGAGAAAAAAACCAATGAGCATGACCTGTTGTCATGATAATCGGTGAAAGAAGAGTTATTCCGGTACTTTGCCCAATCCATAATTTGTCTTGCACATTATTATATACTAGAGAAGTAATCGGTGCATCAATGAGTCCCGTGATATGTTCAAAACGCCAACCTTCATTACCAATACCGTACGATTGAATCCAAAGTTTGGTCTCAGTACCAACAAATATTGTCTGCCGTTTGGAACTCCATGCCAAAGAGGAAACAGACACATTGATCCCATTGAGAAATGGATTAACCATAAATGTCAATAAGTCCAGCCCGTGTAGTCCCGAATCAGCAGCAATATACAACCATCCTCTAACTCCCAAATCCTCCACAAATAAACCGCCTGTGATTTTAGTGGTATTTAAAAGGGCAGAAGGAAAAACTATGATTTGTATAACTTTGCACGAACTAGCATCTGATCGGTTACACAGAATTAATTGCACACTATCAGGTGAGATGAGGGCAGCTGTGTATTCTAAAGCAGTGTCTTCATTATGTGATGCGACCAAAAGACTGGCATTGCTCTTTACGTCTATATCAGATAAAACTATTAAAGTACCATTGGCAGACAAAGACATCCAATGCATTTGTAGTGTCGAAGTTCCTGAATCTGTCTCTTGTACTTTATCAATAGATTGAGTCAGTAACCAAACACCTTCGGCAGCTTGAGAGTGATAGCGCGGTAGTGGAGCAGTGTGCCATGCATTTTGGATGTTATTGAGAACAGGCCAAGCAGTCGATTCATTTGCAAATGGCGCAAACAGATAACGTTCAGCAATGACTTGCTCAAACTTATTATCTGGAATAGGCGTTGGCATGATCGTAAGACTATCAACGAAAGATTTGTGTCTTATTGAGAATGGATCATTGATCGTTATCAAGCAGACAAGAGACCAAATGAGCATTAGCCACATCGTATCGCTTTATGATCAGAAATGTGCAAAAAAAAGCAGAACAAGAGAACAACTTATATGTGAACCAGCGTAATTATCACCTTCAAAATGCATGTTGAAATGATATTAAGATAACGCTATCTTACGCATACAATTTAAGTTAAACACATGCAGAATGTTTGAAGGTAAGTTTAAAATGATCAGGATAAAGTATCTGATATCAGACTATTACCTTTTTTTTAGTTTCTAGAGAGTTTGTTGTTAGAACGACTTGCGTGTAAAAAAGTCTTTGCAAAACCTGTTGCATCAATTTTCGTCCGCTTATCAGCCTTCAGAAAGAATCAAAAGTATTCAGCTAGAAAGAGAATTTTATGCTCTATATAAATATATATTCAGACCTTTTTTCTGGCTTAAAGTTGATTTATTAAAAACAAACTTTTGGTAGGATTCAAAAACGATGTTTGTACAAAATTTCTCATGTGGAAAATAGGGCTAGATAGTTCCAGGACTGGATCGGTCAGTGTTAATAAGCTACTCCAGGCTGATCCTTATAATTTTCAGGACCTATCTAGGAGCCAATGCACGAAAGCCACGACACATCGTGCTCAATCAATCTCAAGGATTTCGATGAAACTTTGTCCATATGTAGCCTCAAGTGTCCTACGAAAAAACCTAAAATTTCAGCGCTTAAAGCCGTTACCTTCTTGAGATATTAAAATTACAATACATGCTCCCGTAAGGTCAAAAATGAGGATAACCAAATCGGTACCTATGTATTGTTTATTTCACCATTTTTCAATGGCAAGATTTAGAGTTATGAAACTTTGGGGGTGTATACTATGGCACATATCATACATACTGACACGCTCAGAATCCTAGTTTTGCGCAGTAGAGAATATAGGAAGGCATCATAGGTTCTCGATGTACTCCCTATATTGTGATCGAGCGTTCTATCGCTTATGAGGAAATTAAGAGCTCGCTCTTTGGAACTAAGTACTACTATTGCCCAGCTATCAGCGCCGCTTTTCAGAATTCTGGCTTTTTGACTTTTACCAGAACAAGCATCTTGAAGATTCTATACACATGGAAATATACATGTAGGTAACCATTCCGATTCTATAGAAGACCTTCCATAGCTTTAGTTATTTTTCGTGCATATTGAGCGGTTACGTGTGCGATAAAGTTCTACGCAAACCACATGAAAAAATATTGAAGTGTTCTTGAGATATTCAAGTTTTACTGAAAGAATTCTCATATCCCGTTTTGTTACCCAGTGTACTCTGAAAGTTTCAGCCATAAACAACGACAATTTGTCGAGAAATTTGCTAATGTATCCCATGTGCTCTTATGTGGCTAAAACCAAAATTTGTTGTAATGCTTGTCTCGCTATCATTTCTGGTTTAATTTGAATTCTTGAATGGTGTTTAATTAGTCATTAAGATAATTTGCAGATGAGCATATCTTTCGCTTGCCAGAATTTAAAGTAAACCAGAAATAATAGCGAGACAAACATTATAACAAAAATTTCTCATGACCACACAAGAGCACATCGGAGATATTTGCAATTTTCTCGACAAGTTCTTGTTGTTTATGACTGAAACCTCTATGATGTACTGAACAATAAGACATGAATCTTCGATGTAAATATGAAACCAAACGACAATAATGCGAAGAATTACTCGAAAAAATTAGCTGTGCCGTTTATTTTGGTCATGGAGATAAAAATATGTTAGATCACGCCATTATTATGTTATTATCAATTTTCTTTAAATCTATTCAAAACTACAAAATAATAAAAGATATGTGAATTGAATACAACATGCGTACCTTGTAATGGACGGATAGCATAGGAGTTCACTTATGAAAATCAAAAGTAACCTCATAAACCACATTAGTCTTGTACATCAGTCAGTAGATGAATGCTAGCATTGTCTACTGATTCATCTTTTTCTGAAAGTAAATCGGTCATAAGTTGATATGTTCAGACGACAAAAATATATCTTTCGTTAGAAGAGTACTGAATCCATGGGATAAGATATCTGATATGGGTACCATTCATCATTTTGTTCATAGTTACATTGCAACATGTGTAGAGAGAGGCAAATACAAATCATATTTCAACTTTCACTTATTTGTATAGCATATGTCACAACAAAAGCTGATGACAACCTGCACTTCGATGGCAAATGCGTCTCTTCTCACTCTACCTCCAGAATTAGTCCATCATATTTTCGATCATTGCGATGTCCTGGCGATTCTTTTTTCAGTTCAAAATCATCGTACACTAAAAAACTAAGTTTGCCACGAAACCTAAAAGGGTTTCATACGAATACGAATTCTGAAACATTTTTAGATTTCGTACCAAATCCTAAACGATTTCCTCCTTTAATCCGAAATCTTTTAGCTTTGATAGATGGTTCGGAATCAACTAAAACGTTCTGTATGAAAATGCAACATTTTTCAAAGTTCGATACAAAATCTAAACAGGTTTCGGAATTCGTACCTCAAATCAGAACCTTTCTGGGTTTCATACAGCAACACTTTTCACAGGATATACTCTAAGGTTGATTACTCGTTTCATTCGACCGGAAAGTGTTATACCACTTACTATTTCCAATGATTATAGAGAGAATGATCAAATCAGCTTATTTAATTCACTCTTCACCACATCCATGATATGAACTTAGAAAGTCTCTTACAAAACTTGACCATCGACTCTTTGGCCTCTCTTTCAATTGAACCGACTGAGAGACAGCATGACAGAACATGGATTATTGTCTTATCAACGCTCACTCGCTGCAATCTTCGAAAACTATGCATGAGTAATGTGAATTACGTGACGGAATACATATTATGACCAGATCAGTGCAAATTAGAGTACCTGATAATTGGTACCTGCCTCTATAGTGACTATTTAGTCATTCGTCGTCAGTTGCCCCATTTACGAACATTCCTCATGCGAAACTGCACTATCAATGATACTCATGAGATAATACGTTCATCCTGTACATCCACGTTTGATTCACCGTTAATATCACTGAGCATTATCGAATGTTCACTTCCTACAGAACATCTTGAATTGCTACTTCCACTAACACCTTCGCTTCGCCATATGAAATTGGTTTGTCGTAGAGAAAGGTTCGACTCTATGTTCGATAGTTCTTATTTGGAACAATATATTCAAAGCAAACTGCCCAAACTAGATAAATTCGATTTTTTCTTTTCCTATTCCTATAGCAGCAATGATAACATCACTAGTCTCGACTCACTCATTGCTTCATTTCGTGCACCTTTCTGGCTCGATGATAAACGTTGGTTTGTAACCTGTACTTATGCTCCAAAATTACATGAAATCTGGCTTCATACGACACCCATCAACGTTACTGATATCGAAAGCTCAGTCAGATGTGCAGTATCGTGGATGCCCAACATTTGTCACCTGACTCAACGACCAATCAATAGAATGGTTGATACTTCTTTAGATGACGTGAGTACGAAAATCCATTTGATGCGAGAAATGATCATTTTGCTTTTTTGCCACCAAAATTTCCATCCAATTTCATTTCGTATGAATCTTCCGCTAGTTGAACCAGCACAGTAATCTATATTATAACGGGATCCGGACAGTTGCGCGCGGACATTTGCTCGTATGGACACTTGCTCGCGCTGATAGTCCTAGCGAGCAAGTGTCCATACGAGCAAATATCCGCGCGCAACTGTCCGGCGAGCAAGTGTCCTAAACCCATTATAACAATCTAACGAATGAATCCTGCGCACTTCGAACATCAAAGAGAGATAAGCATATCTCATGAATATAGCTATACAACAGGACATATGAAATTGAGACATTGAGACAACAATGTATCGCACGGAACACGGACAACAGGGAGAGCATAGCATCCTACAAAGAAGGATATAATCCCCATATTCAAGTCCGCGACTACTAAAAGATAGTCTTAAAAAAAGCAACCGTGCAATTTGCATGAGGGTCTAGCTAGTTTAGGCATGGCATATTTGTTTCGCACAGACACTCACAACACTAGATATTCAGTGCGATCACATCGGAGATTTTGGAACAGGGTGTGGGTGTGGATGTGAGAAGAAAAAACACCCACACAAACACCTACACCTACACTCACACCCACATCCTACACCCACACCCTTATTCTCTAGACCAATTCCGTGCTTGATCTTAGACAGTCAAACGATCAATCGATTTGTTTCATCTAGAACAAAATGCCATGGCCCATGCTTCAAAACGGTGGAAAAACCAAGATAATATCTTTTGTTGTTTGAGAGTAACAAAGAATTTAAAATAGCTAGCTACTTTTCAGACACCCTGTATTTGAAACAAGAAAAATCTTCCAATTTACTATTAGTAAATTGAAGGATTCTTTTTTGTTTTATATATTGTCATTATCGTTATTGTTATTTCAATGAAATGTAAAATCGAACATTTTTGTATTGTGTCATTTATTGTCATTGTTGTTATTTCAATGAGATAAAGAATTGAACATTTTTTTGTTTTTTTCTATTTGTTAACCCGGCTTATGTCCTCAGAAAACAGTCAGGATAAAAAATAATTAACTCTATATTACATCACTATTAATATTAATAGATAAATTTCATACACCTAAGACGGGTTGAAAATTCTTGAGGGCTGAACCCTACCTGGCCATAAATCCTGGCGCCGCCACTGATCTGGCTATCGGTGAAACTAGAACAACGATGGGTGTAGCTAAGGATACACGTCTTCATATGCTATATGAATTAGTAGCCGATTTCGAAATTCTTAAACTTCAATTTGTTTTTTTTGGTATAATCGCTGTTGTCATAATTGTTTTATTGATCCTCAACATTATGAACAAAATAATTTAACAAAACGATGGAAACGGTTTCAAGACTAAAAACAACAATTAGAGTCTTGTGGAAAAGAAATTGATAGTGATTAGTGATGACTCATCAGATGAATCAGAAGAAATCGATTATCGTACAAATATATTTGAAGGAATTAGAACAGGAATTCGACAATTAGGTGGCAAACATCTGGTTACTTCATCGACGAACAAAAAGCCTGACTGTTAAAATATGTACTCATAGGATAACAAACGCTTTAACTTCTATTTTAACAATATAATTTCTTTAATTCTTCTTTTACATAGTACTTTACAAAAATAATAGTAAGGCTGTCATTGATGGACATTTCTGAATTTTTCCGAAGTTTCATTATAATTTCTTGGAAGTTCCATTATCACGTTATACGATTCTATTTTAAAATAAATAGATAAATTTTCAGAAGGTAGTTTATTCGACTAAAATATGAATTAGTTTAACATTATTCTCGATGAAAAATAAAAAAATATTTGTTTTGCACTCTGTAACATCATACTACACATTAGTGGCCCTTTAAATACGAAAATAGAAACAAATAGAAGTAAAATCAAGCATGCGTAATGCCAAAAAATACACAGGAATATTTCATCACTATTCTATCACTCATTTGATATGTATCATGAAAAAAAATACACTATTTGTAGAAGAAATCGATAGAAAGAGGTGTTTTTTTTTATCGATTTCGTTTACCTATCGGAGTAGTATCCATCCGTGTCGAGAGAAATAAAAATCATTTTACTTTTGCGTTCTCCAATAAATATAATGTGAATATTATTGACACACTTCAGAAATTTCTTTCATCACTGCCTATTTTTTTTTGTGTATATTTTTGGGCATCATAGTTTTTTTCATTAGGACTAGGGATACTATTTTCTACCGGTTAAAACATAATAAGACTTAGTATCTGTATCTACCTACTGAATTATAAAACAAGCTTCATACTATAATAGTGTCTTTTATAAAATTTAACTATTTAAGAATTATTTAGATCATTTGTGTAAAACAATGACTAGTACTAGTCTCTTGTTTGATATTAATGAATTAAATGCTGAACAACAAATAAAATTTCATACCGCTTACAACGAATTAAAACCAACTCATACATCCTATCTTCAATATAAACTTAATTTACCACGAAAGATCAAGTTGGATAGTGAAGAAGAAGAAAATGAATGGTGTTATGAATTATACAGATACTTGCGTGCTAGAAAATGGAATGTTAAATATACTATTAAATCCGTTTCGGAAATGATACAATGGAGAATAGATAATAATGTTGATTCAATTCTAGAACATCAATCCATAATACATCGAGTGGATCTCATTCGAAGAATTATTCCAAATGCTCATCATGGTTATACGAAAACTCATCAACCATTATATATTGAAAAAACGGGTCAAATGCATGTGAATCAGGTCCTGAATGAATATACAACAGAGGAATTGATGCAATGTCATATATATTGGCTTGAATTTAATTGTGAACGAGCTCGAGAACGTAGTCGACAATTGGGTAAACATGTAGAAACTTTTGCTATGATTCATGATTTAAAGGGAATGAAAATGAAGACAAGAAAATTAATTCCCTTTTTTAAACAATGTCTCTATATCGATGACAACTATTATGCTGAACGTTTAGGACATTTATTTATTATAAATCCACCAAAAATTTTTCCTGCCCTTTGGAATTTACTAAAACATGTCATTGATCCAGTTACGAAATCAAAAATTATTGTCATTAAAAAAGGATCTGATACGTCACCAATGTTATTACAATATATTAATTCTGATCAACTACCACGTGAATATGGTGGAAATTGTCAATCATGTCCAACGTCTCCAGATTGTATTCCTATTTATGATCAGAAACAAGATAGTGATGATGATAATGATGATGATGAGTGAATATTGTATTCACTTTTTGCTACCATATACGAGAGACACCGTGAATTTAAAGTGTTAACTTATAATACAAAAAGTATTTTTTCTCATATTTAAACATCATTCCGCTGTTGTTACAACTATTAGATCTGTGAGATTGACAGACAGAACATATTGTTTTTTAGAAAAGCGTTTAAAAGACAGCCTATCCATAGTTAACTCACTCAGCTATTTTTAGCCTTTAAGTTGATATAACTCATTAAAATAAAGTAACAAAGAGACAGAACTAATACTATACCAATACATATGGAAGTTCTAGCTTCACTAAACTAGAAGGATAGAAATATGGGACAATGCATTCATTCAAAAGATTCACATTTCTGAAAATTTCCTCGTAGCGAATAAAATATTTTTATTTGTCTGTGAAGTTAAGACAATAAATCTTATATCCGCGGTGAAATTTTATTTTTGAACATTTGTTTCTAGAAAAAGCTATCATGAAAACATTACGATAATGCACTCATCGATCTGTTTTGAACTCTTTAAAAAGACACATTTTTTAAAGCTTTAACAACAAAAGAAACAGATCCATTGATGTCAAACAGTATCTCGGACTTCAATGATGTCAATATGATTTCCAGTTTTTTAAATTATAAAGTATAATGTTCAAAATATAATAAAGGTCCATAGTGACTTATCTTATTTTTAAAATAATATTTATTCTCTAAGAATGTTATTCATTTTTTTGAAATATATACTTTACCATTTTATTTGTTTATTATTTTCCAGAGTTAACCAATCAAAACTACCAATAACTGCAACTGACTGTCTGTTTAATTCCCGTGAGATAGTTTTGTCAAAATTAATGATGAAAATATTCTTTATTTAAGATTTTTTTGTAATATTAATATAAATATAATTCATTGTTATCAATAAATAATTATTTTCCAGTAGTGTCAAACTTGAAAGTTGAATTCACCTATTCAACTATTACTTCAAGTACTCAACTATTCAATTATTAAGACTTTCAATCATTCAAAAATTCAACTATTCAACTTTTCAATGCCCTTAAAGGGTTTTTGGCATCACCCTCACCTGCTCTTGTGAGGTTTTGCCCTTTTCCTCAAAGGGTTTTTGCTCCTATCCTCACCTGCCCCTGTGGAGTTTTGCCCTACTCTCAAAGAGTTTCGTCCCGGCTCCCTCAAGTATTGCATATAGTTGAATAGTTGAATTCAAATTTCAAGTTTTACATATATGAAAACTTCTGAAGGTGCATTTATATTATAAGTCGAATTAGGCATCTCATACTCTTATGGCATTCATTCTTCTCTACTTTCAATATCACTGCAAGCACCAACTATTGACATTGATCCGAATGCAAGATGTATACAGCATGATCTCACTGTAGCTGGAGGAAATGGATACGATAGTGAAAACAATCAACCATCTCACTCAAATGGTTTATATGTGAATGACGATGAAACTATTTATGTTCCTGACTACAATAATTATCGTTTGCGGAATGGAAACGTGATGCAACGAGTGGACAAACGATTGATTGATGATGGTTATGGAGGTTGTCAGTTAGCCTATCCATTCTTCTCATTCGATGTAATTGTTGACAAAAACAGTAATAAACTTATCATCTGCGATAAAATGAATAGAAGAGTAGTTCGATGGCCTCGTCGAAACCGGGATATTGAAAAAGAAACACTTATTTCGAACATCACTTGTGCTGGTTTAGCAATAGATGGAAATGGATATCTCTATTTTGTTGACTCTCAAGAACATGAAGTGCGACGATATAGAATTGGTGATACCATAGGAACAGTAGTTGCAGGTGGTAATGAAAATGGAACTCGGTTGGATCAACTTTCTAATCCTGAATGCGTATTTATTGATCGGGATCATTCAGTGTAGGTGTTGGATATGCGTAATCATCGTGTGATGAAATGGGAAGCAGCTGCAAAACAAGGCATTGTCGTAGCTAGTGGTCTAGGGCAAGAAAACACAGAGCTGTCGCGAGCGGGGGGTCACCCCCCAATTTTTTGAAATTTTGTTTTTTTTGCTCAATTTTTTTCAAAAATTTTCAAGAAATTTTCGAAAAATTTTTCGCCCCCTCTCCCATTCTTTAACATCTCGCGACAGCTCTGAGGAAATAGTCTTTCACATTTGAGTCATCCTCAAGGAGTAGTTATCGATCAATTGGGCACTGTTTATATGGCTGATTGGGGAAATGATCGAATAATACGTTGATCAAAAAGGAGCTGCACGAGGGAGTGTCATTGCTGGTGAAAACAATCATGGAACACAAGCCAATCAAGTTAATCTCTCTGAGGAATTGTCATTTGATCGACATGGTAATCTGTATGTTGTCGATCAGATCAATAGTCGAGTACAAAAATTTGTAATCGAATAGATGATATATTAATGATGTTTATTTGTTTGTGTGATTGAAAATGATTCGAATCGAATAAAAGAATATGTATTCTTGATGAATCAGTAAACACATTAGATATTCATGTACGCGCACGGCGAGAAAACAATTTTCGATGATGGAACATAGTGAACCAGTTAGGCGACAAAATCGATTTGTAAAATCTGAACTGAAATTGTAGCTAACATTAGGAATAATAAGATTCTGCTTATAACTGCACTTTCACTTTCGATTGAAAAATGTAAACGGGATCCATTATATATAACTTTCTGTAAAATAGTATGGTTATACTGTGAATATTTCATAATTTTATTTTCAACAATTTTCGAGGAGATTGTAAACATAATATAACTACTAGGATTTAAATTCAGCGTCCGTTCTGACTACAAAATGACGGTAATGATCACATTAGATGAAGATGTGATTAGATAAAACTCCACACTATTAATGAGTAGGTGAGTTAACGTTAAATTAAGATTGGGTGTGGGTGTGGGTGTAGATGGGTGTGGGTGTAGGTGTGGGTGTAGGTGTGGGTGGGTGTGGATGTGGGTGTACAATCAAAGAAGATAAACTCTCACACCCACACCCACACTCACACCCACCCACACCCACATCCACCCACACCGACACCCCCACCCACACCCCCACCCCCACCCCCACCCACCCCCACCCCCACCCCCACACCCACACCCACACCCATACCCACACCCTCAAGAACGTTTTACACTCCGTACAATTCGATTGAATTTAAAAGAATACGTACAATCAGCAAATACTACTTTATTGACTCATTAATATAAGATATTCTAATTGTTTTCTCATCACTTAATTAACTTCTATCTACCTGAACAATGATTGTAATTAATTTGAAATTTAATGGAATATTTATATTTGTTTTGGTAGCTAACAGTAGGATGCATAATGGAAGAAAAATATTAAGCTATAATATTTATGACAAATGGTCTAGACAATGACTGTCGTCCTACGATTTTCTATCTCTTTATTACAAAAAGGATTTAATGAACTACATAGAAATGAATTACATTCATTAATAAATTATTTAATTTTGGTAGACAAGGTTGATGAGGCGTATCTACTGAATAAGAGATGACTCTCCTCCTATTACTAACTTATAACATAATATGAACGTCTGTACAAGCAATCTTCACATTCACATGAATATGGTTCAAATTTTAAATTCAAATATTTTAATGATTTCATTTTTGATGATATTAAATTTTTGCATAATCATAAACACACGAAGTCGAGTTTCTTCTCTCAAAGATTATTATTTATATATTGAAATCATTTATGTGATTTAAATGATCTTACA